TGTTTGGGCTACATCAGGCAGCTAGTAGATCAGTGCTCAAACAAGAAAGACCCTGTAGCCCAGTGGTCCTCAACCTTCTCATGATGAAGCCCTTTAATACAGCTCCTCATGCTGTGGTGACCCCAGCCATAAAGTTCTTTTCCTGGCTACTTCATGACTGTAGTTTTGCTACTGTTATGAATAGTAATGTAAATATTTTTGGAGATAGAGATTTGCCAAAGGGGTCATTACCCACAGGTTGAGAACTGCTGCTTTAGCCCATCATTTAACCCTAATATAGCTGATTAACTGCATTAAATGTTTTTGGCCACTATGGGACTTAGAAAGTCCATTGTTGTATTTAGAAAGAATGTAATTGCATGTACCTAAAACTAAGAAAAGTAATACAATTGAGTATGTTAATGCATGAACTGAGTGTTAGAAATACAGAGGAAATGTCGTTTAATGATAAAAGTCAATAAAACGCCTGTTCAGGGAATGTAACAGTCTCTCACTTGACTGTATCAACTAACATCATTCTCCTTCCTTTCTAGCTAACTGCCTTCTGTGAAAGCAGTTACTCTTCAGCCACAAGACTGAAATATGATGTTTCAAAACTTAACTAAAAAGCTGTATTCTACTGAGAGACTGATACACATACACACACACGTTTCCTTTCCCCTGAAAAAATTTTAAATCATGGAGAATTTTTCTGGGCTGCTTTGAAACAAGTTGGACAGCAGTGATTGGTGAATGAAGGTGTCGTGCGACTCTTCAAGACTTCCTTCCTAGAGCCCTTGGCGGTCACACTACATTGACCAGAAGGACTAAGAAGAGATGACATTTGGGTTTCCACAGAGGGTTTCTACCTGCACATTAGCCAGAAGAACGGGGAGTGGATCCCACTGCAGTGATGCTGACTCCATCTTTAAAAGTGATCGTGATGTTGTATCCATGTATGTATGTCTGTACATAGGAGTTGAGCCTCATATATACACACACACACCACACATAAGAACACAGTGTACTGTAATACTGCAAGAAGGTATTTTTAACTTACCGTTTTATTTTTATACACATGAATCAGATATCATTACTTCAGTTGCAACTATGCACTTGTATGAAGCCATGTGTTGGCGCTTATATCCTTCATTCATGTACCTGACAGGATGCATGTTTGTGTAAACAGGAACTGTAACAAGAAGTTTGCAGTTAATTACTCCAGTTCCTAATGCTTGTGGTAGACAACTTTACCCATTTTGAATGCCTTAATTTAATTTTCTTTCCCCCCAAATCTCAACCCTTTTCTGTATTTAAGAAGAGAAAGAGCAAGTGTTTACCAGCTCTTAGGATGCAGCTCACTTTGTGGGGAAGTAGTGCGCTCTTGACCTACAGCGTGGGTCAGTGATAGCGTGTCTGGTGTAGGATGGACAGCGTAATGTATCGGGCCATAGAACAGTAACGATTGTATTGAAACCAGTGTGTGATGGACATCTGTTAGTTTTTCAGCCCTTTTTACAGCCGTCAGCTGGTCTGTAACTACAAAGTATTTCCTTTGCTTTGAACTTGCTGGTCACCCTAGATGTGTTTTTATTTATGATAAAGGCAATTTTTCACATTTTTCATTCAAGATTCAAAAATTGTCTCAAATATAAAGAAAACTAACGTACTGTAGATATATTTTAATATTTAAATGTGATCCTGAAACAAACGAACTGTATGGTGGTATATCTTTGCTATCTGGGAAGAGGCAGCCTCAAAAGCGCTTACTCTGATTCTCATTGTTATTGCTGCCGAGGCTAGAGAATGGGCGGGACCTGTCCTGTCATGCTTCGGCCTGGGTAGGTGTGTTCCACCCCACAGTGGATGGCAGCAGTGGGCAGCGTCAGGTCTGTAGATATGCAAAGTTGAAGATGATGCTGAAATGTTTGCCTCGATTTCAGTGACGCCAGGAGACATTTGCGTTGCCTCCCTCTGGGGTCAGTGTAGAGATGTTGTACAAAGTTTGATCCTCATTATAGATTCTATTGTGGAAATAGTGGCCTTTGGCCTACTGGTATACTAAATCTCACCCCTGTGACCTTCAGATGGCCTGGCTGCATCTTCCATCCGTCTGTTAAGACGAGATGTGCGTGCCATTTCCCTGGAAGCCGCTGTGCTCTGTAGCCCTGCTTCAGCACACAGCTTGCTTCCTTCCCTCCCTCCCTCCCTCCCTCCTTCCTTCCTTCAGATTTAAAAATGAAAATATATAAAATTTATATAGAAGAACTATTTCCATTCATCAGAGTTGTTTAAAAGGAGACTGAATTAATATTTTATATAAAGATTTTGTTACACTATGGGAGGTTCTATCCTATACTGAATTGGAGAGTATATATATATATATTTTTAATAAATTTTATTAAGGTGAAATAATGTCAAGTTTACACATGAATAATTGAAGTATTTGAGTAAAAAAGGCAAAAGTTTAAATTTTGGATGCTGTGCGTGTATATATGTATTAGAGTTTGGAGAATCATGGTGTGTTGCAGCTGTACGAGGCAACTAATGTGAAGGATTCAGGGGAATAAAACATTCTGAGGGGTGAAAAATCTCTCAAGGAGCTTCTTCACATATGGTTTAACAGGGATTTATAAGGTCATTTGTCCAACTAACAGAATTTCTTTGAGTAGGAAACTGTGACCTTAGGGAAGTCTTTGCTTCTCCCGCCATCCGCTTGTACGTGATGCACACACCTGCCGTCACTGCCCACCCAGCAGTCGTCACAAGAGCAGCCTGGTCTGTGCCAGCTTCCCTTTTCCTCGCCCCCAACCTTCAGATAAATGATTATCAGAGCAAATGTTGCCTCCTTGATTCAGTTTGTCCCAGAGCCACAAATACCTCCAATTGGGACCTAAAAGAAAGGAATGCCGGGTTTCCTTAGTTGGATACTTTTGCTTTGTGGAAATAAAAAAGACAGAAGTGGAAGAAAAACTAAGTTCCGGTATTCTGATGAAAATTAATGTACAATTAACTTTTAAGTGTTGCTTTTAGAAAAGCAAGATTTAAAAAAAGTTGAGTTGAAAGTTTCACATGCCCTAGCTAGCTAAAGGATAAGTGAGCAATAATCCCCAGGAAAGGCTGGTGTTTCTGGCTGGCCTTTGAGAGGCCGTGGACCCTAGTGGAGGCTTTTCATCAGCTCCTGTGTAGATCTACAGTGCTCATGTCCATGCTGCTGCCGTCAGTCTGTTAGGTTGCCAGGGTGACGTGGAGAGACCCAGACACTAATTAGCCTTGCAGAGACACTTTGAGCAGCATGCTGAAACCCCAAGTAGACCAAGTCGCTTCTGAGCTTCTCAGGCCCTTTGACTGCTACTGATTCTCCTGTCCTGCCTGAAGGTGGCTTCAGCTCCCCTGGCTGTGGAGGTGCCACAGCCACCGTTAAAGCACTTTGACAGCGCTGTGTGACAGTGCTGAGGGGTGTGCCCTGGGGCCTCGCCTTGTCCCCTCCCCTGTGGTGACTTTTGTTTGGAACTGTAATAAGTTATAAACTGCATGATTTAGAGAGTCATCCTGGATCAGCTGTCCCCCCTGAACAAAAGAAATCATACCCTCTTGATTGACTTTTTATTTTGTTGCATCTTTGTAGTAATGTAATTGTATTTTTATGCCTGCTTTTTGTTTAAGAAAAATAAATAAAAGAACCTAAGATGTCAGCATCTTTTCCTGAGAAGTAGTTGTGCAGTCCTGCAGCTTCTTAACCCGTCTCCCCAAAGGGTGCGGAGAGAAGGTGGGGTGACGGCATCCTAGAGAGACCCGTGCGCCTCGAGTTCTGGAGTCTGCCTCCAAGTCACTTACACACCTGGTTCCGGGTGGGCAGGGTAGAGGACACAGAGTGCCTTTCTGTCGGAACAATAGTGTGATGGGTATCTTCTACAAGGTGCTTTCCTGGTGAGCAGTGGCCATCCTCCGGTCCTGGGTTGGGGATTCTCTGAACACATTCATCTGTAAAGGAGACACTGTATCTGCCTTTCGGGGACTGTTGTTTTAGATAGGGTAGTGCGTGTGTAGTGTAGACACTGTATCTGCCTTTCGGGGACTGGTGTTTTAGATAGGGTAGCGCATGTGTAGTGGTGGCAGTCACCCAGATGTTCCCTCCAGAAGGGGGGATGGCCGGCTGTGGTGAGGCATGCTGGCTAGAACTGGCTGAAGAGGTGGATGTAGCAGGAATCTTAGAGAGTCTTAATAAAATCAAACCCAGGGCCAGTTATTGGGGTGAAATGCTGGAAGGTCAGAGAGACAGAACAAGCCACAGCTAACCTCACCTGGCCGACTTCTCAGCTGGTCTTCTTTCCTCAGACTGGAAGCCTCTGTGTCCTCATCCCCGAATGGCTCTCAGCTGAACTGTGCTGCTCAAAACCTAAAAGCTTAACCAGCCAAATGCTTCTAGTTTCTGGTTCTCACGCCTTATATACCTTTCTGCTTTCTACCATCACTCCCTGGGATTAAAGGCGTGAGTCACCATGCTTGGCTGTTTCCTTGAACACATGGATTTCTGCCTCTGGAATGCTAGGATTAAAGGCGTGTGCTACCACTGCCTATCTTAAGTATCTAGTGGCTTTTCTGTTCTCTGACCCCAGATAAGTTTATTAAGGTACACAATATTTTGGGGAACACAGTACCACCACTGGTGGAGGCAGAAGAGGAGTTTGAGGCCAGCTTGGGCTACAAAAGGGGAAGTTTTCTATCTCAAAGAAGTGCTCTAAGCAGTGGTAAAATAAAAGTCCTGATAGAATACATCTAAAACGCTTGTTGGGATAAAGAGCATAATTTATATTAAACTAGTGGTCTGATTGTCAATGTATGTGAGGAAAAATGAACTTGGGTTTTGTTTTCTGGCACTGGTTGAAATAACCATCGAATGGGTTATGTTTAGACGGAGCATTTCTCTCCTCTGGGTCCAGGGCAGTCCTGACAAGATTAGCTAGCTTGCTAAGGAGCTGTACTTACATAACTGAAAATCCATGACAGTTAAGACTCAGTGGAGTTCAACAAACGACAGTTTATTTTATATAGGAAACTAAACATTTTCCAATAAACATCATTTATTCCTTACACTATGCCAGAATAATAGCATGCACCTAGAAGAAGCAAGTGCGCTTTGAAGTGTTCGGGTTGTAACACATCAGAGGAGGTACTGTGGACAGTGCTTAGGCTGTGTTACGTTAGTTAAGACTAAAACCCCCAGGAGTCGGGTGGGACTTAGCAATACTCTTGACTGCACACCTTCCAGCGGCTAAAACCTACACTGAGTCCCAGCAGCGTAACGGAGGTACAGCCCTTTTTTAAAAAGTCTGTGTTGTGCTTCAGTTGGGAAGGCTGTTGGGATGCCCTCATCTAAACAGAGGAGGCTTCAGTTGGGAACTCCGTAAGGCGTACTGTGAAGGGTTGGAGCACTGCTTAGTGGGTAGACCCAGCAGCGTCTGTGTGCACTCTGACAGCCCTGAGCAGATGCTGCGCTGCACTGTCACATACAAGCCCCTGGTCATGGAAGGGTTAACCTGCCCGGTTGTGACTGAGCAGACCCCACTCCTGGTGGGGAGACTGCTTAAGGCTCTGAAAGCTGCAGATATACCACAGCTTGGTTCCTTGGGCAATTCCCATGGTTGCAGGAGTCAAGGCAGGTGTGGTGGTGTGTTCTAGTCCAGCACTCCCAGTGTTCAGAAGGCCGAGGAAGGAGGATCACAAGCGGAAGGATAGCTTGGGCTACATACTGAGACTCTGACTCTCTCTCTCTCTCTCTCTCTCTCTCTCTCTCTCTCTCTCTCTCTCTCTCTCACACACACACACACACACACACACACACACACCACACACACACACACACACACACACACACACACCACACACACACACCAAAAACCCCCTAGTGTATAAGGCCCTACCACAACCTATGGGAGTGGGGACAGGAAGTGGGCAATTTTAAACAAGTGGCTTTTTCCTGCTCTGAGTCCGCTGTGTAGCCCAGGCTACCTCAGACTCCCAAGTGCTGGAGTTGTAGGTTTGCACCTCCATATCCAGCTAAGAGGCTTTTCAAGTCTAACAAACCTAATTTGCGGTTTCTGAAATGATTGACTAGGAAATGACTTTAAATGTAGCAATGGGAAGCAATGGTGCATCCCCTGGTTCCGTCATTTGAAGTCCACTGTGTGTAGAAAGAACACATCCATCATTCCGCTTTGGTGGCAGGCTTCCGGTAGTGCAGGACTGTTGCTGTCACCCATATATTTAAAGCCAGCATGATCACAAAACGGGTAAGAACTGAAATAAACAGAAAGTTCCAACATTAAAAAGCCGGACACTGTGCTGCTTTTAGTAGAAGCCTGCATGAGACTTCACCTCCAGCCCCAAACAAAACAAGATCACGGAACTCAGAACAGCCTTGCTTTCAGACATTTCCTGGGGAAGGACTTCCCTGTAGAAGCTTGGCCATGCATCCTCAAGCATCCTCAAGCATCGCTGAAGTGATGTGGCTCTGGCCAAGAGGTGGAGCTAAGACCCTTCTGCTTACGTCTCAGAACCTGGGTGTCTCAGAGTGCTGCTGTCTACGAAGACTTGTGGTCAAGTGTGGTGGACTCTGCCTGTGGACCCATGAGAAAGGCTGAGGCAGGACTGCTTGAGGCCCAAGGGAAAAGCCAACCTGGGCGGCACAGCAGAGACTCCACATCACACCAAAGTATTTCTGAGCAGTCAGCCCTGTGTCAGTACATGTTGTATCATAAAGTGACCGTGAGAAGATGTGACCGATAGACCAGAACAGCAGCCTAACTTGCCCTTTAAGACATGAAGGCTTGTTTCGTGACAGGGTCTCGCTGGCCCACTCGGTGTAGCCGAGGGTGACTTTAAACTCCTGATGCCCCTGCTTCTGCCTCCCAAGTGCTGGGATTACAGTTTCAGGAAGTGTTGACTGAAGCCAGCTCTCCTCACATGCATGCTAAGCCACTTTTCCAAATGAACTGCCGTCCCACCTGACTTCTGAGATGTCTTTGTGGTGGTAAAACACCTACAGCACACTAGCCACACTTTCTTTTGGACAGGTTCTCCTCTTTGTGTAGCCCTGGCTGTCCTGGAAGTTTTTATGTAATCAGGCTGGCCTCAAACTCACAGAGATCCGCCTGCCTCTGCCTCTTGAGTGCTGGGATTAAAGGTGTGTGCCGCCACACCCGGCTGGTCACACTGTTTTTAAAAGCCAGTCAGTCACTCACAACAGTGGTGACAGATAAACACTGCAGTGGGGACATTTTTGATCTTTTAAATACAAGCTTTTTGTATGTGGGCTCTTTGCTGTTTAATTACATTCCTTTCCCTCCTGTGAACCCAAGTCCCACAGAGGAGAGCTGGGTCTGTCTTCTTTTCCATCCTAAAGTCAGAGCTGACAAAAATACAGCCTCCCGAAAGGGACTTGACTCTCCTGTAGCTTGCTTTCTCAGTGAAAGGTCTAGTGTTGAGGACGTGTGCTAATCATCATTGGATAGGTTTCTGTTTTTTCACTTTCCAAAGATGCTGTGTTGGAAGTTGAAAGCAGCGTAAGGGATGAATTCTCGTTCAGTTAACCAGAGTATTTTCTTCTCTCAGCTTCCAGGGTGAGAATGGGCCCCCTTGGGCATATTTCTCCCCACGGACTGCAGGGAGTGGATGCTAAATAGAGATTGTCACTGTTGAAGACTAAATTACATTCTTTTGCCCCGTGACTCCAGAGCCCAGTTGAACTGAATGAGTCTGTTAAGCCTTATGATGGGTTCCATGTTAGACCCAAGTCCCACAAAAACAAAGAAACAGAAAACAAACCCACACACAGGAAGTCAAAATGGTTTTACTTACTTGTCAGATCATTGGTGGTCATTAGAGTTGTTATTATCCTTGCTGGAAAAGAAAATTCATAGAATAACTAACTTCTCAGACATTCTTGACACTTCGATTTAGCTCGTGCCTTTCCATGTTACTGTAGTAATATATGCTAACTTCCTGAATGGCCTTGACAGGGGACCTTTGTTAATACTGTAGTGTGTAACTGTCGAATGAGCAGGCATGCACCCTGACCCTGGCCCAGCCATGCAGGAGCTGCTGGAGAAAGCAAAAGTGATTTCCAACAGTAGCTCAGCACCCCCAGGGAGGCCTTCCATCCCTCCCTGTGCTCACCCTCAAAAATAAAAAATCCCCAAAATCGTAAGTCTCATTTGCATATTGAGCTTCCAGATATTTTAGTTGAAGAATGGCTCCCACTAATTAAAAAGTGTGTGTGTGCGTGGGGGGGGGGGGAATAGACAGACTAGAGAGATGGTTCAGTGGATAAGAGCCCTGACTGCTCTTCCAAGGACCTGGGATCACTTCCCAGCACCCGTATGGGAGCACGTAACTCTGGTCCCAGAGAATCTGACCCCCTCTTTTGGCCTCTGAGGGCACCAGGCATGCATGCAGTGCACATACATAAATTTAGGTAAAAACACCCATATACATAAAATTAAACAAAAATCATGTTTTAAAAATTACATGAGACAGGGTCTTACTATGGTATCACTAGCTGACCTTGAAATCCCAGAGATCCACCTGCCTCTGTTTACTGAGTACTGGGATCAAAGGCGTGCGCCACCACACATGGCAAGGAGAAGACACGCTCTTCCTGTCTAACTAGCGTTAGTTCTGTGGTTTAGCCCCTTTCTCAGTTAACAGCCCTCTGTAGTGCAAGAACCCCGGGGAACAGCTGAAGCCACAGTCTGCAGAACAACCCCTTCTACACAGGGGTACCCTCCCTTAGCAGGTCTGTTGAGTAGTTCATCACAACAGTAGTAGTATGCAAGAGAAGACCCCGACATTGATGGAACCCGGTCCCTGGAGCGAGGTGGCCTTACTGGCACAGGTGTAGGCAGAGAGGCCCCAGGTCAGCGCGCTCACGGCTTCCGAGTCCTTTAGCTTCCACAGATGCTGGAGCTGGGCGAACTTACTGGCCGCACTGATGACTGTGCATAAGTTCTGGTGTAGGAAAAAGAGAGTCAGTCGGAAAAGATAGAGGGCTGGAGATCGAGCTTTTTTCTTTCTTTTACGTTTTATTCTCTGGAGCGCTGGCACAACTGTGAGAGCCAGTTCTTCCACGGTGTGGTTCCGGGATTGAACTCAGGCCATCAGGCCGGGCAGCCAGCACCGTTAACCGCTGAGTCATTGCGTCAGCCCAGATTCGGTGCTTTTTAAGCCAGACATTCAAGTCTAACCGTCTCCAACCTGCCAAGGTTTGAAACTTCAGTTCGGTGAAGAATGACCCTCGGCTGCCTCTGTGGTGGAGAGTGAACTGGCCAGACAGACCTCGTCCAGGGCCTGGCTGCAGACCCACCCTGTCTTCTGCTCTCTCCCCAGAATAGGGATGGTGTATCCTGGCCTGTCACTAAATCGATCAACTTCCAAACTGTTCCTCATCCTGAGCACGGTCCTCTGTTACCTCTCAGACAAGAAAGCCTTGCAAATCGGCTCTCAGCCGGTCAGGCTCTATGTCCACAGCGGCTGCTAAGCTCAGGCCAGAGGGAGACTACTGCAGTCGGCTAGGCTGAGCAGGAGGGCATGGTCAGGGAGATGAAGTCAGAAAGGACCACACAGAGTGGTGTGTTTGGGAGTCAGGCGAGGGAAGCAAGCGTGTGGTACCGAGATCCTGATCTGTAGTGAAACTTCAGAGGTGAGTGGCATGGGGACTGACAGCTGGCTCTCCAGTGAGTGACAGTCACAGGGCCCTTGACAAGCTCTGCTTCCTGCTGCAGCAACAGGACGTGAATGGCATGGGCACCTGGCTGGCCACCGGAAGTCCTTGTGGGGGAGAGATGGGGCTCCACAGGGAAGGGTCCTGGAGAGAGGGGTGTTGGAGAGTGTGTCTGGGCAGAGGACGGAGCAGTGCCATGGCTTAAACAGACAAAAGTCACAGTGGGAGCTGGGCACAGACGGCCTGCAGGAAGGCTGAACCCAAGCAAGGAAACCGGTGGGAAAAGCAGCTCTTGAGAAATTGGGGTGCTGGATAAAGCAAAGGAAGGTGGCAGGGTCAGCTTAGTGTGGTGGGGAGGGGCCAAAAAGGGGGGGACACCAAAAGTGGGTTACGGCATAGCCCAGGCGGACAAGTTACTAGCATGTTTCCTTTTCCAGAAAAAAGCCAACTTTGAGATCAAGGGGTAGTCTGGGACCAGGCCCTAAGAGAACTCCAGGAGCGTCAACACACACTCAAGGGAGAGCGTCATGTTATCTCCCAGAACAGGCCAGTGCAGGCAGGGGGCTGGCAAGCAGAGATGCGAGTGAGCTGAACGTGGGTATGCAAAGCACCGGTCCCCAAGTCTGCCAGAGAGCAGGTGCACAATGAACGCTTGTGGGGAGACTGAGGAGGAGTCGCCCCGAGTGGGAGGAAAACGGGAAAGTTAACATTTGAAAAGTTACGCTGTGGGGGGATGGCAAGATGGGGGATGGCAAGGGATGGGGGGTGGGGGGGTGGGGAAGATTGCTGTGTGGGCCTGAAGACCCGAGTTCAATCCCTGAAACCCACAAGGTGGAAGGAGATAACCATCACAAGTCTCTGGGTGCATCCCCGCCCCCATACACAGAAGAGGCGGGGCGGTCTATCTTAGTGTTCCCTTTGTGCCCCAAACCTCTCAAGACTAATGTCTTAACATTTGGCCTGCATTGCCTTTTCATCCTCAGCAGAGCTGCAAAGGGGTGGATGAAACCCCATGCTCTAGAGCAGTGGTTCTCAGCCTATGGGTCTCGACCCCTTTGGGGGGTGTGTGTCCAGTGACCCTTCCACAGGGGTCGCCTAAGACCATCCGAAAACACAGATGTTCACAATTCGTGAGTAACGGTAGCAAAGTGACAGTTACGAAGTAGCAATGAAAATAATTTTATGATGGAAGGTCACCACCACAGTGAGGACCTGTTAAAGGGTCGCAGCAGCGTTAGGAAGGTTGTAAAAAAAAAAAATCACTGCTCTAAAGCGATGTAGGCACAAAAGGAAGGTATCCATTTTTTCAGTCTCTCTCCCTTAGGGGCCCCACTCACCATGGCCAGGTCGATGATCCATTTCTGCAGGCTGAGGACGAACCAAGAAGACACAAATCTGGACGTGTGCTAAGGGACTCGGCTGTGAGTCACTGGCAGCCCCACCCACCCCACCCACCCCTTCCCTTGTTCTGTGCAAACCAAGCCAGACCTCAGAGGGTGACACAGAAGCCAAAGTGGAAGTGTGGGGGGGGGTGTTACGGGGGGGGGGGTACGGGGGACTGTTCTGGACAACGTCCGGCTTGGAAAAGAGGCTAGGGGTCGCGTGTGAATGAATATCTGCTCTGAGCTCAGCAGAACGGAAGCAAATTGTGGAAGAAAGAGTACAGATCCATGCTCACGGACTGTAACCTGAGGCTGGGGCTAGTCATTACAGCTGTAACTACATGCTGCTTTCCTGACCCATGCAGCCATCTCTAATGCACCAAAATTAAGCACTTACAAGAAAGGTTCAAGGAGAGATGCTCTGCAAGACTGGGGGGCTGTGTGTGAACTTTTTAGAGTCCACACCCCTCCCCCCTAATTCTGTTGTCAAAGCACATGTGCGTAGTTGGGGTGTGTATGCGATGGTAGGCAAGGAGGAACCATTTCCCATCTGTCTGGTGCAGGACTCGGGCTCAGTGACTGACTACTTGAAACGAAAGAGCCCCCAACCAGGGCAGAAAGATCGAGCCACGAGGGCCAAGGGGAGCCATAGTCAGGGCAGGAGTGGCTGGCAGGAACACGTCAACTCCCCACTGCTCTGCCTTGGGCGCCATTTCCCTGCTCTGTCTACCTCCCACATGCTATCAGCATACAGAAGACCCCCGACAGAGGCCGAAAACAATGGTTAACGTTAACTAGGTGAACTAGGGATTAAACTAGAGATGGCCCGTGCCAGGAGGCAGCAGAGCCGAACACAGTGTGGGCCACAGCCATGGCTGGCATCCAGCTGCACTAAACTGTTACTAAAGCGTTCTAAAGACGCATGAAGTTTAAGAAAAGGGACACCGGGAACGCAGGGAAAAGGCTGCCACGGAACCTCACCCTCTGCATAGAAGATGCCACCGAATGGAGCAGTCTGATGGCTGACCGTTATTACGATCAATCCACGTGAGTCTATTAAATGGGTAACAGGGTTTATTAAGATATAAACTAAGGAAATACACTCGCGATTACAGAACAGAGTAGACAGCTGAAGTCATCCTCTGATCTGACCGGGAGCGAATCCACCTTGAAGGCAGGAGCAGGGAGAAGGGGCCTGTGACCCTTCTCCCCTTCCTTATAAAAGAGGTCACACAGAATGGCGGGAAGCAGCACCTCCTTTGGGCCATACAGCCCAAGGTCATGAGCGGAGGAGCAAATACCACTGTGTAAGCCTCCAAACCACCCGGCCACCCAGACAAGGCTCAGCCTCTAAACTACAGTTTTGCATAGTGGTGTGGTTAGCGGGGAAACTGCCCCCATCTGGGCCATGCCTACTGCCAGGCACCTGCCAGGTGCATCCTGTGTGGGACTTGGTGCCAGCCACTCTCATGTTATTAATCCCCTGGGGACGTGCTCACGGAAGGAAGGAAGGAAGGAAGGAAGGAAGGAAGGAAGGAAGGAAGGAAGGAAGGCGTGCCTGAGATAAGCACAGGTGGAGCGTGGTGTTCTTAGCAGGGTGACTGCACACCTCACACATTCAGCAGGGACACAGCAAATCTATACCCCGCGTGGCCTTGGAGGTCAGTGGGACACCCTATTACAGGGATGCCACTGGCTGCCACCACTATTGTGTATTTTATGTACTTATGTATTTTATGATCCTTGCTTAGGTAAAAATTTTTTAAAAAATGACCCTGCTTCACAAGGCATAATATTGTCAAATAACACCCCAGATCCCCCCTTTTTGGTGCTGAGGACAGAGTCCAGAGCATCTTGCATGCCACCACTGAGGCCCCTTCCTTGGCCCCTCTACCTCCATCATCTCCAGCTCAGATGCAGGAAGGATACACCGCGGCGTAGGGCAAGGCCTGCTTCACGTTCCCATTGAAGTGAAAGACGAATAACAGGAGGAGGATGTCTGAAAGGAGAGACCATGAGATGGGCAGGGCAGTAGGAGGGCAGGCTGGGGACCGGGTGGGGAAGGGGGGGCGGGGGAGGGATGGAGGGAGGGGATGTTACCTTGTGCGATGAGAATGGGGTATTCCAGGTACGTGAGCAGCGGGTTCCCATAGTAACACTGGTAGCGAAAGAAGACCAGGAACCTGGAGACAGGACGTGTATTCACAGCCCACCCTGCGACCCGCCAGACCCCAGACACATTTACCCAACACTAGAGCATGTGGTCCTCACCACACTGGTGACCGACCTGAGGGCAGACCTTCAGGAATGTTGTCAGAGACCCGTATGGCAAGGTCACCTACACTGCCTGTCACTCGGGGGAACTAAGATCCAAAGAAGATAAAACCATGTGGGAACTCAAGGATAAGAGGGAGGGTCTCACCCTGAGGTGTTGCCCTAGCTCTGGCTTCTATGATTTTAGGGGGACCCAAACATCCCACACATCCTGTGGGCTGGGGATGATGTGTGAGTGCTTTTCTTTCTTTTCTTTTTCTGTTTTTCGAGACAGGGTTTTACTGTGTAATTTTGGTGCCTGTCTTGGATCTCGCTCTGTAGACCAGGCTGGCCTCAAACTCACAGAGATCCACCTGGCTTTGCCTCAGGATTCTGTATACAGCAGTCATCAACCAGGCATGGAATCTCTGGTGTCATTAAAAAGGGCTCTGGCCAAGATCCAATTCCCTCACGTCAGAATTTTAGTTTGAGCTCTCAGATCGAAATCCAAGGAGGGTCCATGCGTCCAAGGCAGGAGTCCAGTCCCTGGAGCATGCAGGCTGTCTGATGGTGGCTGCCTTTAGGGTCTTCCTGATACCTCAGAGCTTATCTGACTGGTGAGGGTCAAGCAGGCAGCCAGGCAAGGCCCAGAGGGAAGCAGAGTTGAAGTGACCACCCTATCCATGCCGGGAGAAAGAGGGGAAGGGAGGGGGAGGAGCCAGAATGTAAACAGCGGGGATCAGGCACGGTTGCTCTCCTATTCCTATTGTTTCTACCTCAGGATTAAAACAACTCCCACCTAAAGCTGCAGTGAGGATTAAAGGGGGAATGCGTGTAGGGCCCCAGGAGGACCTTCGGAAAGTTCTCACGAACTGGGAGCTATTGTAATCAGCTGCTGGCTGGCGGAAGTGGGGATAAATAACGATTAGATTTCAGTGGTGGAGCATACCTGCGCCTTTTCTGGCCTCAGAGCTGGTCTTAACCCCGCCAAATCTAATTCCAGAAACCTGCCGTGGCTGCCCGCCCACTGCCCCGAAGGGAGAGAGGCGGTTGAGACTTCCAGAAAGAGCCTACTTCATCTGTATTGCGATAAGACTGCAAGACCCATCCGGGTCCCAGGGAACATTCCATGGCCAGAGAGCTGTGTTCGGCTGGAGTCAGCTGTTGGGGTTGAGAAGATTTCTGATTGGGTTTGCTTGTTTAAAGCCGGGCTACCGGCAGGTTAGGAAATGTGGGCTTGGCGCTCTGTAGGCGTCCGTGAGCTTTCTCTTCAGTCTGCACCCTGAAGCCTCCGCCGCATGCTCGGGAAGGACTTCGCAAGCCAGAGAGGCCACAATTGCTCTCCTGACTTCAAACACCCGCATCCTCGGCCCCAGCCAGGTTGTCATTTCTGCATCCTTCCGTCTCGTGCCTCACCCCTCACCCTGCCAGCCTCTCTCTCCCTCCCTGAAATACCCATACTCTAGTTCCTATGCGGCCATCGGACCAGGGGTCCTCCCGCCCGCCCGCCCGCCGAGCCTCTCTGGAAAGGTGCACCTTGAAGCCCACCCCATCAGATGGGCGCGCTCCTCCGGGTGCGTGCCATCGGGGTGGGGCTGGTGACAAACCGAGAGGGCTCTGCCTGGCGCAAGATCGCGCGACTCAGGGACGTGTTCCCCATTTAATTTGTTTTTCCCAACCGAAGTTTCACAACTTTACCTCTTACTCTACTTAGCCAAGGGCACCGAGAACTTGGCTCCTGCAACAGTCGCGACCCAATCCTGCGTGTTGGACCCCAGCCCAACTTTCAAGCGCGGACCCAAGTTCCCCCTCCTCCTCCCCCACATGGAATCATCAAATCTTGTAACTCAGATCTCAGCCCAACCACTGGTTTACTGGCAGGGGTCTCGGGGCTGGAAAAAAAAAAAACGTGGGTGGTGCCGGGTGATGTTAGGGACGTTAAGGGGATGCAGGTGCAAATAAATGGCTTCGCCCGCGGCCTGAAGGTTGTCTATAAAGAAGGGGTGGAGGGTGACTCCGCTGAATCTCTAAGATGGGCGTGCACAGGCAATTCGTATCTCCCGGGATTTGGGGAGAAGAAGCAAGGGAGGTGTGTGGGAGCGCCCGGGAAAGCGCCTCCCAGCCCCGCGTCCCCCGAGTTAACCCTTGGCCTCCCGGACTCGCAGGCCTCCCGGGGCCTTACCCCGCCAGCTCCAAAAGTAAACTAGGGAGGCTGATGCCCCGCGCGCTGCGCGCCGCCAGCTGCGCGTAGATCTGCGGCAGCTTGAGTGCGGCGCACACGGCCAGCGTGCTCCAGTTGCAGAACCACAGCAGCCCGGCCTCCATGCTGCAGTCCCGGGTGTACGGGGGTCAGGGGGCTGCGGGATCTTGTAGTTGAGAACCAGGAGCTCACGGTCCAAAGAGTCCTTCCGCCTTCCCGCCGGCTGGGCCACGCCTCGACCACGCCCCGAGCTGCTGCGCTCCCAGGGCGCCCCGCCCCATGTCGGCTGGACTCAGGATGCTCCCCGCCCAGAGTCCGCTCTGCTCTGGGTGTGCCCAGCCCCGCCCTGGGTTTGCTACTCTCTGGGAACACTCCCGCCCTGGGTCTGCTCTGATCCTGGTGCACCCTGCCCTGAGTCTGCTCCACTTTGGGTGCACTCCGCCGGGAGCCCGCTCCGGCTCAGGATGTTCCCCGCCCGGTGTCTGCTCCACTCTGGGTGCACCCTGCCCTGTGTCTGCTCCACTTTGGGTGCGCCCTGCCCGGTGTTTGCTCCACTCTGGGTGCACCCTGCCCTGTGTCTGCTCCCGTCCCCGAGTTGGTGGCTCTGCCCTCCCCTGCTGGGTTCTGCCAGCTGCTGATTCACTTTCCGGGTTCCACCCACCGATGCTCTTCCTAGCGGAATGGAAACGCCCGAACAAACCAGCCTCCCCAGGGGTTGGGTGGGCACAGAGCCTACTTCTCAGGCCATAGGCCATTCTGTGTGTTTTCCACTCTCTACAAGTTATCTTTTTGCTCTAAACCTCTCAGCGATGAAAACTTTTAAAGTCTTTGGTCCAACCCCGTCAGCATCCGCCCCGTCTTACAGGCCTGAAGAAGCCAGAGGACGCCGAGGCCCCTGAGACCCAGCCACAGGAAGCCAGCCTTCTGTTGGGGAAAGACGTCCACAGCGGGAGGCGAATCTCTCTAGTGAGCTTGCTCCCTAAACCCGGAGGCTGGTTTTCCTGTTTTGTTTTGTTGAAACAAGGTCTTATACAATGCTAACTGACTGGCCTTGAACTCAGTGTGTAGCCTAAGCCAGCTTTCAACTTCGGATCCTCCGGCTTCCGCTTTCCAAGGGCTAGGATTGCAAGTGTGAGCCGCTGTACCAGGACTGACTAGTGTGTGGGTTGAGGCGGGGTCCCACGTGACCCAGACTGGCTTTGAACTTTCTCTCTCTTTTTTTTTATTCCTCCGCCTTTTGGCGAACGCTGGGATGACAAGCTTGTTCCATCGTACCATCTGAGAACCCGCTCTTTCCTTCCTTCCTTCCCCCCTCTTTTTTATTTTTATTCTTAGGGCTTTGTTGTTGTGTGCGCGTGAGCACGCGCTCGAATCTGCGCTTGCGCAAGACCAATGGACACCCTCCCCTGTCACTGTCCGCCCTCACCGGCTTGGAACTCACCAAACAGGCTAGGCTAACTGGCCAGGAGACCCCAGGGAATCCTCTTTTTTTCCCAACCTCCCCACCGCTGAGAATACAAACGCACACGGCCCACTTTTTTAGGTGGGTCCTGGGATCTAACTCGGGTCCTCCAAAGAGTTAATAGGTAACTATTGAGAAGTGGGGTGTTGTGGTGCATGCTGTTTCCTCCAGATTGGATCCCTGCTCTCTGGAGTGAGGGCTACCGAGATCACCTGCTGGAGACGGTCCCTTGGGAGGTGGGGGTGGGTGGGTGGGTGGTGTTACAAGGACCCCCTCCTCTCTAGTGTTTACAAACTGTTCAACAGTAGCTGTCTCTAAGTTTCATGGGGGTTGGGGGAGCAGGGACAACCTGAGTCCAGTGAGTGATGCCATTGTCTTGTGTTATGTGGTGGATCCACGTTACGTGTGGCAGGTGCCCGCCTCAGTTATGTTCCTGTAAGTAATCCCAGTAAACTCCCTGGGTGACCAGGGTGGACCTGGATCGGGTAGATTCCTACTCTGTCAGAGCCCTGCCAGAGGTGAGTTGGTGCCTCCCTGTATCTCTCCAGGAGAAAGAACTTAACGGGAGGAAATCTGGACACCCCCCTTTGGGTACAAGATTAGAAGAGGGGGTCATTTTCCCTCCTCTGGAGATTGCTAGGCTATAAGACTGAACACATGCGTGTGCGCACACACACACACACACACACACACACACACACACACACACACACAGCCAGTCCAGTCCGTGGTAATTCTGTGCTGTAAGCCACACACCAGCACACCTTCGGCCTTGCCTCAGTCCTCACCAAAACCCTCACCCTTCCGGTGGAAAAAGGCTTCTCTCCCAAGAGAGAGATCTTTGAAGGGTCTCTTCTCTCTCTCTCTCTCTCTCTCTCTCTCTCTCTCTCTCTCTCTCTCTCTCTCTCTCTGTGTGTGTGTGTGTGTGTGTGTGTGTGTGCGCTCGTGCGTGCGCGTGCACGTGTGTGGACACTAGGTTGCTCATCAGTAGATAACTCTGCTCCTAAGAAACGTGGTGGAGGATGGAGATCCGATCCAGCCAGCTCTTCTCTGAGTTACTCCACATTGTGAAAGCAAACAGCCTCCTAGCTTTACCAGCCTCCTAGCCTTACCCTGAGTAACTCCAGTTTACAAAGTAGCAGTGAGTTCCATTTTGAGGGTGAACTCTAAGGCAAAAGGACTGCAAATCCCACACACGTAAACAACCGCCTAAGCCTGCAGGGATGTCACGTAGTCTAAGCAATAGCTGACCTTTCCACCTGCATGTGGCTTATTTATGTCCTACACATACGCTACTGATCACCGTGCTGTAGACATCACCCACGTGACTAAGCCGGTCAGCGTGGATCCTGGGAGCAGAGGTGTCTACATCCGGGCTTCTTAAACTCCTTCCCCTCACGGCCCCTCTCACCTGAGACAGTTCTATGTGACTCTGGATGAGGATGTACATACAGGGTGTGATCAGGCAGCCACGTTCAGAGCCAGCCTGGGAGTCTTCCCTTTGTCTTCTCCTTCTCTGTCTCCTTCGGAAGCAGCTTCCCCAGACACTGGGTTCTCCACCTCTGTCTCCTTCGGAAGCAGCTTCCCCAGACATGGGGTCCCTCCGTTCCCCAGACACTGGGTTCTCCACCTCTGTCTCCTTCTGAAGCACGCTTCCCCAGACACTGGGTTCTCCACCTCTGTCTCCTTCTGAAGCAGCTTCCCTAGACATGGGGTCCCTCCCTTCCCCAGACACTGGGTTCTCCACCTCTGTCTCCTTCTGAAGCATGCTTCCCCAGACACTCCCCTCCCCCACTTTTTACACCACACTGGCTGCTTGGCAGCCATGTGGCTACTTACTAAATAAAGGACATGGTTCCTTTTTCCAAGATTTACAGTTTGCCTGCTCTCTGATTTTCTCAAACTCTAATAAAAAAAATCCTTGAACTTAAAAAAAAACTGTATAAATCAAACACCAGCTGATTGCAAATCAAATAAATTTATTTTTAAACAATTCTTTGGTTTACACATAATTTTAGAATTTATTAAAAATGAAAGTCAATTCGCATACTGAAGTGGTTGTGTTTATGTTTACATAAAGAATTAAATCTTGGCCGAATATTTGATAAGACAGAAAGTAGAACATTTTCAACATTTTTCAGAGTTGACTGATATTTTTATTGAATTTTTAAATTTGTAAAAAATTCCACTTTTATTTTATGTGTGTGGGTATTTTGCCTGCATGGATGTCTGTGTACCACGAACATACCTGATGCCCGGGGAGGCCAGAAGAGGACGTTGGATCCCCTGGAACTGGGGTTACAATCAGGAGCTGCCATGTGAGTGCCGGGGACCTAACCCCGGTCCTTCGGGAGAGCAACCAGTACTTTACCTCTCAGTACTCTTTACATCTCAGTACTCTTTACCTCTCAGTACTCCTTACCTCTCAGTACTCCTTACCTCTCAGTACTCCTTACCTCTCAGTACTCCTTACCTCTCAGTACTCCTTACCTCTCA